ACAGTGCACTCTATAGTCTTCTAGCAGGATGAAATTTGGAAGCATTTTGATTACTCCATGACTTTCCACTGCTGTAACTCTGTTATTTTTTAGAATAATACTTGCAGAATTATAACTGAATTGGCCACTGTCTCTGATTAGATGGACTCATTAAAACTGAAGTAAATGCTAGCTCAGGGCTTTAACCAATCTATGAAAGTTTCTCTTTAAGTGCAATGCCTGCTACTCAACCTGCCTCACACTATGTTTTCATTAACAAAATGTTAACTGCTGTTGCTTTCAGCATAACTGCATGCAATCCAGACAGTTTTTGTTTCTTTGTACCTCTTGGTTTAAACTCACAGCTTGGCAGTAGGATGTCAGATTTCTGTGGGATTTTTCTAGCAAAATAGCTAAAACAGAAATCTTTGTGAAAAGCATAAATTAGCTTTTGTAGAGAATTAAAAATTGACAGACTGGGAAGGTAATGTACTACTCTTCCACGAAATTCAGATTGTGTGAAATATGTCACCACTTTATCTACATTAGGGAAATCATATGAGAAGACAGAATGAAAGCCTTCAATTAAAAAAGTCTGAGGTAAATTACTAACACTTTGGAACTACTTGTGTTATAAAAGTCTGCTGAACAAGAAAGACACAATAAAACTGGATGTAAGTTTTGAGTATTTAATTCTAATTTTATGTTGAACATTTCCAAAGAGGGTTAGGGATTAATTTCAGTATGAGATTTCCTTGTAGACATGAGGTCAGTTGGAGGTGTGACTGCAGTAAAGCTGTGAGCAAAACCACAGTATATTAAGCAATATAAATAATGAGAAAATAGGTTTGATGCTGAACATAATGACAGAGGTCCTCCATTTCCCATGTATCTTCACTGGTTTCCAGAGACTTTCTTCAGACATTCAAATCAGAAATACTATTATAATAAACTTTTAAATGTCCAGTTTGCTTGTGGTACTTCCTATCTTCACACCTGTTTTATGTTAAAACTCCCTGAAGTCCTTTAAGCTAAGAGTCAGTCTTTGGAGAGAACAGTAAGAAGAAATAAGGATTTTTATGCTAAGAAATAGCACATATTCCAAATAATCCATCTCTGTAAGAAAAAGCTCCGAAGTAATGGTGGAGAGCAGACAGACATCCTCTGATGTGTGCTTCAGGATTTCAATGGAAGTGGTAACTTCAAGAGAACAGGGCGTTACAGACCCTTTCCTGGGTGCATAAACTTAATGCGTGCAGAACAGCTGAGCACTGGTACCCTGCCAAGATTTGTGCTGTTCTACATGCAATAAAAAAACCCCATCTAAATTACCATTATTTTGCAAAAGGCTCCCTCAGCCTCTGACCTCAGGCGTTGCTCCGAACCACAGGAAACAGCCCCTGCTTCTGGAACTGAGAGGGTCAATGTTGGCTAGACCACGCTGCCTTTTCCAGTGACGTTGCTCATGCGTCTGCTGCAGATTGCCTTGCAGATTGTCTCACTCTTCCAGCAGCGTTCTCTAGTTTGCTATCAGACCTGCTCTACAGAGCCCAAAGGAATGCTGCTGAGCTTGGTATAAAGTAGTAACGCAGCTTTCTATGAGAGGTTGCAGACCGGACACATCATCTTCAGCATCAATTATCAGCTGGGAAACAGCAGGCATCAGGTTAATAGGTACCTGGTAGTTTTTTTCCTGCCATAGGCAGACACTACCACCAGTACAAATTCTGCCCCAGAACTTGTGCTGTAAGGTTACATTTTTCTGAACTGCTTTTATACTATTGTTTTATTTGTAGCTTCTCAACTTCTTCTTATTCTGTGGCTTTAAAAAAAACCCAGCTGTTGCCTTTTCATCTGTTCAGCAAATGAGGATACATGATTTTGTATCAAATTAATTTCTTTTGAGAAATCCTGCTTCAGGTTCTTCAAAACCATTTCTGCTTGCTTCTGTCTCCTGAAATGATCAAACTACAGTATGACAAACATTGTCCTGAAACACTTTTTGTAACGTCAGCTTATGTCTGTCTCTACAAGCAGCTGGCTGATGACCCTTTAATTTTTACTCTGCTCTGTGTTCCATTTCAATGGCTTCATTAGAAGGTGGCAACAGCTGAATACAGATCTTTAATTCTGTGATGTACGCTGCATGCTTAAACACCTGACTTTATAGCACATAACTGAAATGATCACAAGGTCAGGCTAACTTACTTTTCAGCACGCTTTGGTCCTCAGTATAAAACTCAAGAAACATGATGCCATCTTCAGAAATTGGGTTTAACTTAAGTGCTTTAAGCAAATTACGTTTCAGGTGATGGGACATGTGAGAGTTGAATTCAGTAAGGTGGGTTTTGTCTTATTAATAACTTGAAGATTATCTATATGAACTAAGAACTGTACCAAAGACAGTTCAAAAATGTCCCATTTTCTTTTCTACAAAACAGGGATTAAGCATTTGATTTTTGATGAAGCAGACTGAAAACTTACTCGTTTAGTCTGAAATAGCCTCAAATAAATCAGAAGAATTTCTATCCCCTAACAGCACAACTTCTGTTTTGCCACTTCCTAAAAGCTTATTTTTCTTATTGTTACAAATCTGAATGCAGCTGTCCTTGGAAAGAGTCTTAAATTTATCCAAGAGCCTGTAGTGACACACACATTGGAGAAAAGGGGAATAAGTAGGTTTATAACCTACTTATAACTTGTAAGATACTCTATCATCTCACTCCAGCTATAATTTCTTCTAGTTTTAAGATTGTTGCTCTGCTGTTTTTTTTAAATCAAAACTTAACTGCTAGAGTTAGGCAAAAAGTAATTTATTGCCCGAAGTTTTCACAGTGATTTGTATTTCACAAGATGAGTAGAGAGTTGCATGAGGAAAAATGAAGTCATGGAAAAAAAGCAACAATTTTGGTCCCAGAAACAAATTACAGCACTAGCCAGCTGCCTTGCAATGTACATGTGCCTCCTTCAGGACACTTCAGTAAGGATTTCACATCTTACTGAATGAAAGAGAAATCTCTGGGCTCAACTTGTGCTTCTGTCACCATTCTTCCCTTTGCAGCACCTAGATTTGTCTGCAGAAGAACACAAGGCCTTCACAAGCAGCAGCAAATTCCACAGAGCTGAGCATAACATTAGATTTTTAAATCAAATGCTGCAATTAATTTGTAGGACATTGAACCCATGGCAGCAGAAGTCATCAGATTATTTATTAATACAAACTGCGTCCAAAGCTTGACAGAGAAAATGGTGACTTGGGAAGAGCCACTCTCTCTACATCCTGTGACACTGAACAATTTTAACCTTGTGAGCTTCATTTACGCAGGAAAAGACTCAGGTAACAATACATGAACCTTCTGGCTTCTCTAGCCTCTTATCAGAGGCCCTATTTTGCTTGCACTGTGAAATTGCATCATGTTAATCAACAGCATGCAGCATAACATGTGGCTTGACTGTGGTAAAAGTCTGAGCTAGTAAAAACAGCTGGCTGATAAAACGTGAAGGAGGACAGTCTCTGTCTAATACGAGTCATGTTCAACAATTGTCCCAATGAAAGCTAGAGAGAAAAACTTGGTGGCTTTGGTTTTTATTTCTTCCCCTCTAGGATCTTCAGGTTCACACAAAAGAAAACATAGCTGTTCAGCTAACCACAGTATTTCATAGTGCTAAAACATTTGTTCCGTGGTTTCAACATTTAAACAGTTTAGAATCATATCTGCAGATGACTATTTGTGTAACGCCTCCATCTTGCACAGTTCTGGTCAATCAAACGCTGCCTTCTTTGGCCAGTGCTCATTTTACAAGCTTTACCTTGTATCTAGTTCTTTCCAAAATAATAAAAATACAAAAATCAGGTTCAACACATTTTAAAGTGGGATGTTACAGTTCTCTAGACTTCTTTTAATATCTAAAGTACTTAGTGTGGTTTTCATTTATCCCCAGTCTTTCACAAGAGTTTTTCACTTATCCCCAAGCTTTCACAAGAGCTTTTAATTTATCCCCAATCTTTCACAAGTGCTTTTTTTTTTTTTTTTTTTTCTTTTTTTCTTTCTTTAAAGTATCACAGACTGCTGTGTTGGACTGAATCTGTCAAAGTTGCTAACATAGAAGTTAGCAACAAAAACTGAAAATGAGACTGTATCTCAAATACTTGTAACATTTTACCATCACAGTAAGGACGTATCCCTCAGTAGGGTATATTACTTGGCTTTAGCTATCTGAGCAATCTGAAGGAAGTACTTATTTTTTAACTCTGCAGGGAAGCTTCAAAGTGGCTCAATTTATTTTTTAGTTCTCTTTAATTCACAGGAAGAAGCCATACATTTTTAAAATGTTTATTCAGCTTCAGATACTTTTTCTGAAGATACTTGTGGTATATTTGATATACATCTTCCCTCAATCCTTCAAACACACTTAAGCTTTGAGGTAATTTAGGACAAAATATAAGAACACTTAAAAAATAAAAGCAAGAGATCAGTAAAAAAAAAATTTTAGGCAGGATAAATAGAAAAATATTTTGTCTTCCTTTCACTATGAATAGTTTCATCATAATGCACTTCAAAAAGCAAAGTAAGTCCAAAATTAAGTGTATTTCTGAAGCACAATTGACTTAAGCAAGCATTTCACCTGAGCTTACATTTCAGGGATTGTGCCCATAGCAATAGAAAAGACAAAGCATCAAAGGGGCAGATCATCCCATGTCATTCTACCCCTTACTTAGAGGGGTACAGGAAGGAATGGGAGGGGCAGGGGGGGAGGAGAATCAAACCTTGTCTTTGCTGGCTCCATGTGGGCAAAAGACGGTCACCCTCGATAGTAGCATCTCCATTCACACCTGTCAGCCACTACTTGACTCTGCCAGTATTATCTTAACTGCACAAAGGAACTTCTATCCGGGGAGATTGTGGGACATGTTAGCAATGGTGTGCTGCTGTCCCAGAGGGACCTTTCAGTTTGTGGAGTATATTCCAGAGATGCAAGGCAGTTGCTGGAAATGCCTGAGATGAAACCTGTGAGTTTAGAAGATGGTCCTCTGCCCATTCAACAATAAGGGTATGCCACACTTCCTCTGTGAGATAATTCCAAAGGAATTCTAATTTAAAATGTGGCATCTTCTGGCACACATGAAGATTGTTCCTTTGGAAAGCATGATTTCACCCTCTCGTTTATATGCTATATTGGAAGACTGCAATGCTCTAAATAAGATATTTTTACAGTTGTAAAGATAGGCTTTGGGAATGACATAGGCAACGCAAATTATAGTTCTTTAGGCTGAATAAAAAAAGCTAATCAGAGTCTTCATCGTCGAGGTATTCCTCTGCGTTACTTAATGTTCGGATTGTACCTGGAAGGAAACAAAGCTCTCTCTTAATCACAGAATCACATCAGAAAAAACCCCATATTTGCAATGCTTGCAAGCCAGCATCTGAGCAACCTGATTCCACTATCATTTAAGGATGTAAGGGCTACACAGATGGGGCTGTAGATCTGGATCTCAAAGGCTGGGCTATGCCAGTAATTGCATCTCCTACATATGTGATTTAGTCTGTACTGTGTGACCTTTAAGAGATATCTTCTGGCACCTTGGAACCCATACAGCAGAGCTGGAATTCTTTAATTCTACCTTCTGTATGTATTACCTTTAAACTGCAAAGGAAAGGATGGGCGCGCTGGTGAAACAGTCTCTGTGATTTTGTTCTGAGTGCCTAGATGACTGCCATCCTCTGCTTAAAATCAAACATATTCCACCTATTATCTCCCCTCCCCCTTTCCTCACCTACTTACTAGCCTTTGCTTTTGAAGGATGATAAGGAGAAAACAGGAGTATTAAAGTATATTCACCAGATGTACAGTAGTGCCTGGAGAACTACATCTACCTTTGGGACTGCACAAAGATGGACAGGATGGGCTTTCTGTGATAGATGACTATTTGCCTAAAGATTTTCAAATATATGGGAATAGGATATCGATTATATATAACATATATTATATTCTACTACTGAAAGACAGGAACCACAAGTCCCTAGTCAGTCATAGCTTTGCAATAATGTAATAAAACAAAATATTAAGAAGTATCAGGTGCTGATATAATAAGACTGACACAATTCACAGAAGTGATAACCACATTATCCTAGACCTCTGGAAGAATAAAAATGAGTAACATTAAAATTGACCTGCTCAATGGTTTTGATAAAAGAAATCTAAGAGAAAAAAACCACTATTTTTTTTCCTTTTTGAGTAGAAGAAGCAGCAAAAGAAGAAAGGAAAGAAAAGAAAGAAATTGTAGAGCCCTGTGCTCAACAGGCCATGCTTCAAGAAAGGACAAATCCCACTTCTTCTATGTAACAATTGTGCCCTCATTCAGGAGCACAAATGACACAGTGTTTTTGCATTTCTATGACAGGATTTTAATAACTTTCATTTCTTAGAATATACTTCAGCAATCATGACATCTGTGTACACACATAAAACACAAAACTGAACATTTAAGTGGTGGTAAAGTAAGCTTCCTTGGATAAAACAAAATATTTTACAGATGAACTATAATGGAAGCCATATCTAAACATGAACAGACTTGAAACTGGGGACAGGAGGACTACTGATATAGGATGGAATCTCTGAAAAAGAACAATTGTTTCAGTCAAAAAAATTGGTAATTGAAATATAGAAGCAATAGACAAATGAAATGAATAGAAATGACAAAACACAAAATACAAGAAAAGTATACAAATCAGTGGTGTCAGAGATTATAAAAGATCAAAGTAAGACAGAAAAACAAACAAGGAAGCCGATATTGAAATTGCAGTTAAAACTGAGAACATCAGCTTCTTATATAAAGGCGAACAAGAAAAGATAGTGTATGAGAATAACAGAATGGTGACAGATGAGGTGACTAAGGATGAAAAATCGGTCAGCTATGAAACAAAATTAATTTAGATGGAGTGAAGCAAATGCACCAGAAGATAAGGTACCTAGTATAAGAACATGAAACATTAATACAATTATTAGGGACATTAGAACAACGAATATTCCTGTACCAGGTGCCTACAATTGACAGGCAAAGATGGAGTAAGTGCTCCTAACAGGGATTAACTAACATTAGGAAAAAAAAAAACAGGAAACAGTAGAAATTCTGCTTTTTGTCAGAATTTCTTCAGAGTCAAAACTGATGGAATAATTTGTCAAGGTGTTCTGGGAAATTCTGATATTACCTCTCAAAATGATGGACAGTATTTTTGCTGCACTGCTTTTCTTGGCCTTCTAAAGTTGCAGTCAGCACCATTTAATTCCCATAACATCTAGCCACCCAGAGCTTAGCATTCCCTCTGTTGCTGCTAGCCCTGCAATGATACAGTCACTGGACTGCACATCCCACTGATAGAAGCTGTAACTCTGCCTGTGTTTTTAAGTAATTTCTCATTTCATGTGTAATTCACGTAGGGTTTCCACGCTAACTTCAGCCTCCTGAAAGCTACAGGTAACATTATGTGATAATGAACAATTCAGTCTTTGTTCAACTTTTTAAAATAGCCTTCCACCCCTTTAACTCATTTGTACACAGGCACTGTACTATTAGGAGAGATAAATGCAAGTAAGAGGCAGTGAGACTCTTTTGCTAAATAACTGGAAGCATTTCCAGGCATTCGCATACCATTTCCAGGTATTTCACATACCTGAGTGAGTCGCTCAGACAGACACAGAAATACGAAATTAAAAAATGAGCAGTAAGAAGACAAAAATAAGTAGCTTCTGTTGATGTTTGCTTGGCTTATTTGGAGGAAGAGATGGGCATAAGGGGGAACATGTCACATCATTTCACCCTCATACTCTGTCCCTTGTGGTATAATGCTTTTAAAGGAAATTTCCACCCTTGCTTTCTTTCTGTCTCTCCACTCTGAAGGGCCTGACTTCCATTTCCTTCCCTTGCCTTACTTCCTTTTCCACATCTTCTGAACTCTTTTGTCTCTTGCTGACACAAGATGGCATTTTGTGTGAAGTAAGCAACACTGAATGTGATAAACCGCATGTCGCCATCATAGCTCTGCTGAACTAACCCTCTCAAGTGACCCTTCCAAACGCAACTCTTAGCCCATGTAGCTCCCATGTGGCTTTTATGGCTATCAACATACTGGTATTTGGTAAAAATATTAACTGTCCTCTAAAAAGGAAAAATGTATCAGAATAACAAAATCAGAAATACCTGCACTCTGTTTCTTCTTAAGCAGGGAAGCACAAGCTGCATTGGTTGCCATGTCTAAAGCCAGTTTCTTCTCATTGTTCTTCAGATCTGTTCTTGCCCCTTTATAACAGAAAATTTTCATCATGAATCACTGTTCCCGCTATTTCTTGAGCAATGGTATTACAATAAAAGTTTCAGTAGCACGGGTAGAACAGCTCAGAGTAATGGACAAGGGAACCTCATCTGTGGACTGCTCTGAAGCAGACTAAAAGCTATGGATGCTCTTCCATAAGCTACAGCTGGCGAGGGAACTCGCTGGCTGCTCTCCCTTTCCAGGAAGCAGATGTCATTGCTGTTCTCGGGTTAAGTGCCTAATTTTGTCTGCAAAGCACGATGAAATTTATCTTGAGCAGGTGAGATGTCTGCTTTCCAAACAGCTGCCAGAACTTTCTGCAAGGCTTATAAAGTCAGGCAGGTAAGCTGGCTAGGGACTGTACCTGGATTATAGGAAAACAGTTAAAAAATACAGATTAATAAACATTCAGGAATCTAGTCTGCCACACAGATTGTTGAAATCTTGGTGAAGATCTTTACCCTTTGCCAGCAGCATCTCTACAATATCTGCATAACCTTTCCATGCAGCAGCATGCAAAGCTGTGTCTCCCAATTTGTTCTGTGGAGTTAGAGGGAAAAGCAACAGGATTAAAATACAGCAAAAAAACCCTTTTAGCTTGTACCAAGGATGAATAACATCACACCTCTACTGTAAGGGTCTGTTGGTTTAACCTACCTGTTGGTTTAACTCTAGGTTTGCCTGCGTGAACAGAACATCCACTATATCTGCAGAAAACAGGGGAAAAAAATAAGGAGAAAAATATAGTGGAAACAAAATAGGCTTTTTTGCATTTGTAGTATAAATTTTGGTTAAGATTCAATGAAAAGGTGATCCCATCAGCTAATGAAAATCTCTAACAGTCAGACTGCATTAGGCAAACAACCATTAGTCATGAAGAAATGCTACTGCCTAAAATACTCAAAACAATACAACACTTCTTTTCGGTCTGTCCTTCTTCCCACTCTGCTTCTAACAGTTATGTTGATTAGAATGCCCGCTTCAGCAGCAACTACAACAAAACACATAGCGCACTCTTCTAGCTTTGACTTAAAAAACCCAAACACCTAAAATGACATTAAAAAAATCCTGGTTTTATTATTTAGTATTGGAATTTTAGCAATCAGTCTAACAAGCAAGTCAAGAAAACCAGAGAACAGTCACTTCAAATTAATTCTCATACCTTTGTGGCCTCCATGGCATGCCCAGTACAGAGCTGTGTTTCCAGCTTTGTCTAAGCCATTGACCCCAACTCGGTTATCCAAACACTCTCTCAACCAGCTTAGGTTGCCTGAAATACAAATTTAGTTTTGATGATTATTTTTTTTTCTTTGAAAAGTTAACAGAGCCATTAAAGCACATAGTTCTTTCTAAAGGGTCCTCCTATGAACTGACAGGGAGAAAAAGTGTTTAGCAGGATCACTTATAATTAATAAAACAACCAATCCAAATCATACCAAGTATCTCTTCTTCCACTCCCAGAAGACCTTTAGGTCTCTATATAGTTAAATGGATGGTACCAAACATTTATTTTGTGTATACAATCACAGAGCAGCAATTCTACCAGGCTGTAAACCAGCTCAGCTTCTGAAAGCTGCAAAACTTATCAGATAACTTCAAGATACCAGACAACCAAGACAACCAGAACAGTCACATCTTCTTTCTAAACATACTATTCTTTGGGCAGAAAATAAACAAATCACCCTTTAGCATGACACAACTAAAACCCAAATCACACTTACCTCGTTTGGCAGCTTCATGCAATGGGTTATCAATAGACTCAGCTTGTTCTGCCACTGAAATGAAACAAGAGCAAATTCTAACTACTTCTGAAACCCAAGAGATATTTGGCATCTGTGTGGAAATAAAGCTTTGACTTGTTCCAGAACAAGTAACACAGATTCGATTCTAATGTGAAAGGGGATTTGTCAGTGATGGACTAGACAGATGCACTTCAATATCCTGTGTTTGGGAAAGCAAGTCAGAGAAGAGCTTGTGAAAACTTCAAAGAACTGATCAGTGGCTGCAAGCCACCAGGAATCTGGCAATATTTTATCTCAGTTGTTACTCCCCTTTCTGCACTTGTAATATGTTTCTGAGCAGTTGCATGTGGCTAGGCTTTCAACCTACAGCTTGCCATCTGTAGTTACGAATGAATTACTTCCAAGGGGTCTGTGAAGGGTAACTAAAAATCCCACTGTGAATAAGCTTCCCATTTATTTTACAGAGATTTTTTTGTTTTCCCTGGAAAACTTGCAGAAGGTCTGCAAATCAAAACTGCTTAAACAACAAATGTAGTGATGGGCAGATTGAAGTTCAGGCTTCTGTAGATCTTTTCTTCACCTCATAAGCTTTAGGTTTTACAAGAGAGGAGCAGCAAGCAGTTCCTGGTCACTGTGCTGTTGCAACAGCAAAAAAACTGAGCAGCACTATGAAACAGTTGGAAATGTGGCCACAACCTGGAAACTGTTCTTTAAAACTTCTTTTTAAGGTGGAAAACCCTGTGACTAGTAAGGGCATAGGCAAGCAGGACAATGTACAATATGAGATGAGTAGGGTCTCTAAGCCCTTGCACTATGGCTTGTTACAGGCAGTAGGGAGAACGTGAAAGGGTGCTCCTCAGATCAAACTGTTACTGTAATCAGATACAATGCAGGCAAACATAACTTATGTTAGTTACCAGAAGTAAGTCTTAAGACTACTGTGGCCTATCCAGAACTTTTCTTACTTTGGTGTGTATTCCTCCCATAATGCTTGTACTTGCAAGATTGCGCCTGCTTATCTATCTAGCTGTGAGCAAAATAAAATGCAAATGCCAGATTCTGATATTTCAGTTTAAAAAAATTTGTGCAGTGAACAGAATCCTAAAGCAGAGCGGGAGAAGCCAGTCCCAGAGCAGACAGACACTACACAAGAACATGCTAGTCATTTTGAGCAGTGCTTCTGCTGCACGGCAGAAAGCATTAACACTAACAACACTGTCTCAAAAGCCTAAATATGACTTTGTCTTTACAAGATTATTGTCAGAAGTTCAGTAATAAGTATTTTTAATGCAGATAACACTGATTCTGTTTTCATCAGCTTTTCCATTCACAGTCTTTTCAAATGTTCCTTCAAGTCCAGCAGATGGAGCACGAGACCCCATCAGACACAGTAATTTCAGGTCTGTCTCCGCTTTTCCCAAAAAAGTTGCAGAAGTGCACAGGAGATCACAGCGTTTTAATGGTTAAGACTGAACCTAGGCAGCCCTAATGGTGGCAATCAGAGGAAGCAAGTCTTTGGGGATTTTGCAGTTTGTCTATATTGGACAACATGCCCCTGGTACAATTTGTTCTTAGGGTCTACATTGGCTTCTGGTCTGCTTACACATGAAATTTTTGCAAATGAGCACACAGAAAGGCACTGCCACCCTCCCCAGCCTAAAATGGGAGTTAAACTCTTGCTCAGATAATTCTTCAGTAAAGCAGTCTGGAGGCAACATTTCTGAATGTTCTAAGCAGAAACACAAACTGAATTATTAAGTTGCTGGGTTTATTTTAAATATAACACAGTTCAATGTTCAAAAGAAATCTGAGTATAAGCAAGCATGTGTAAACTATTCCTGTATATAATACTGACCAGCTTGGCAGATGGCAAGAGCAGAATCAGTCTGGAAGTCACAAAGTTGAAATTTCTAGAAAGTGAAATTTGATACCATGGCCTCAATAACGGCACCATAGATTTCTATTCAGGTATTTCTACTAACTACAAGCAAGGAATCATAGAACTGCTACCATAATGTCTCCCAGCAAAGAAGGAACAACATGAAGCAACGACACTATTACTAACATATTAGCAGTTTTGATGCAGTCTGTCATGTGACACTGCTACTCTGCCTACATTTCCTGGGAGAACTTTGAAGAATTGTGTGCTGTGTTGCCTGTAGTCATGGCTTTTCAAGGTCATTTTAGTTGAATCTGAAAAAAAAAAATTCCATTCAAACAGGTATGGGGTTATTTAATGAAGTGCAATCCCCAAGAAAGCAATGTTTTCTGTGGCAGAATATATTTGTTAAAAAACAATAAATGGCAAACAAAACAGCCCAATTTCTTTAGGGGTGGAGGGGAACAAAGGAAGTCTACTGAATTTCTCAGACTGAAGGAATACAGCCAAGATGAGAAGATCTTAAAAACTGCAATATGTCCATTCAGACTATCAAGAATACAAGCCTATCAGTTTCATGTGCTGTCTATAAAACCATCCTTTATATCCAAGTGTTCTTTGCCTCAAAACAGAGAACATCTATTGCTGTTACCTGCACAACCAGAAACATGAACACTTGGCAAACTCAAACTGTCTGCGCCTGAATAAAATCAGAAGACAGCTTGTCCGCTGCTGATGCACAGTGATGACCGATATTGCAAATGTATTATGAAATACCCTGGTAGAGGAGTGCTAAACGCCAGTACTGTTATCAGTTTTTGAAAATAAGTATCAGTAATTTTTATTTAGTGATTTTCTTTGATTGCGAATGATCTTACCAAATGAAAACATTCTAGACATTACCATAGTTGCTTGGAATTAGTCCAGTTCTCCCTTTGCAAGTTCCTTTCCACCAATTTGTATCACTCTGGAGAGAAAAGAGAAAAGAGTTTAGAATAGACAAGCTGCATCTCAGAAGTAGTCAGTCTGTATGGAATATCTCAGACTCACCATGTCTGAGATGTAAATGATATCTCCTTCTTCAAAGTACAATTCATCTGGCTTTAAAAAAAAAAAAAAAAAACAGGAAGAGTAGATGAAAACCTGAATGTGTTTACTTAGATAAAACAAATACATGGATAAAGCGGAGTACATTCAGCTCTTCTTTCAAAATAATAGCTCAAATTCTCTAGCAACTAGACAACAGCCTGACAGTCTTTCATACTGTAGTTTGACTTGCCTACGGCTAACTTTTTGGATCTATGACCTTCCTGACAACTAAAGAAAAAGTCTGTGGCCTTTCCAACACAGCACTGTACAATAACAGCAGTGAAATATAACTTGTGTTTGTTAACTTCTTCCCTTTTTTGATTGGTCCCAGTTCATCAAATCTCTTAGTTCACAATTCTCTTCATCGCCTTTGGAAGAAAGACTTACACTACTGATCTTAGATGGCAGGTAACTGATACTAGAGAAGAAAGCATGCTGCTTTTTAAGAGCTGTACTTAAAAAGGAAGAGTGATGATTAATCAGGCAGTTTCAGTCACATTAAGAACCAATATCCATCAACCAGCTTTTTCACTGAAAATGTAGTACAGTAAGTCTGATAGGCCAACCCTAGCAGAACTGAAGAAATGTTATTACAGACAAGATTCAAATTAAACTTCCCAAACCCCTAAAATCCAGTGATACTTACTGTTCTGGGCTCAAATGTATACAGGGCCCTGAACACTTTAACCTGTCCTAAAAAAGAAGAAATAAATAGCATCAATATCATGCCTTCTTAAACACAGCATACACATATGGCCACCAAATCCAAATAACCCTTAACGCTTAGAGCTGCTTGCTGATTTGTTTGTGCTACGCCTTTGTCAAAGAAATCATGACAAAAACACTGAACCCAAGTGTAGTTTCAGTCATACACACACCCACACACCCATACATGTTGTATATATTTTTATTAATAATGTCAAATTGGTCAAATGATACAGAATTAAGGAAAGAATAAAGAAAGTAAACTTTCAAACATCTTAAATATGTAGCTGTATTTCAGATTCTTAAAACTATACATGGTTATATAGATTAACTTGTTATCAAAGCAGTATTTGGTCCATCGGAACAATGCATTACTTAAGACTGCACTTGAGCCAGGCTATTTTCTATCCTCAGAGAAACTGATGAACTTGCTGCCAAAGGCTAGCACTGTACAATAAAGTGTGCATACACAAAACCTTGCGTAGTATATTATGGCACAAATTACATGTTGAGAATTGCATAACTATAGAGTAGGTTTCCTTATGTCTGAAGAATAAGCAATCACTAGGAATTTTTTTGCATTTCTTGCTAGATGTAGTCTTCATTACCCCAGTACCTAAAAACCTACCTACAGTAGTGATCATTTCAGAAAGTTAACTTAAGGGCTTCAGAAATGTCAGTCTAAGTGTATATATGCTGACAGGCTGGAGAAAGGAGTACTCAACTGTAATGAGAAATGGTGCTCAACTGTATAAGCTGCCATTTTGCAGCATGATGCACAGTCTTGGGGTGGCTCTTGAAAAATGTTTTCAAATATCTCTGAATATTCCCTAGAAAGAGCCATGCCACAGCACATGTTTATGAATTAGTATCTACCAAGGCGTAACTACTATGCGAAACATTTCTGTAGTCCTCTGTCTCCAGTTTTTTGGGGAATAAGTAAAATTCATCTGTGTAAACTTTCTAGATAGCCAAATGCATCTAGATCCTGTAAATATGATTTTTCTTCCAACTTGTAACTGTATCCCATGCTTCTCCCTAATCTTATTTTTAGTAACACGACAGAATTTCAGTTTGGCTTTACTAGTTCTCTCTCTCATACAGCAGCCACTTCCCAGACATAAAAGGTCCAACGCCTTCTCAGATCTTCGGCTCAGAAACTAAATACCTGCATTGTGGCAGCAGCTAAAAAGGATAAAACCTCTATTCTGTTCACTACCCATACGGAAATGATGAACAAGGACAGCAGACAGTAAGGAATCCTAGATCTAAGAGATTGCGAATGAAATGTCTGAACTGCAGCTGGGGAGAAGTCAAACAAAAAAAAAAAAGAAAAATTAAAAAAGGGGGGGAGGGGAGAAAGGCGGGGGAAGGGGGGAAGGAAAAAGAAAAAAAAAGAAAAAAAGAAGAAAAAACCAAACCAAGAAATTACAAAACAGGATGGGTGACATAGAGGGGTGGGTGATACAGCATACTATCCCTTCTCAGCTTTCTTACACAGATGACAGAAAAAATGCAACATAGAAATCCGCACTGATGACTTGGCAACATTAACCATCACCCATGGATTTTCAAGGATTTATGTAAGTAAAAGAAGGAATGGAGAACAAAAGGGAAGGATAAGAAATATTAAAAGAGGAAATGAGAAGATGGCAGAAGACACGGAAAAGCAAGAAATATAATGTGTGTCTGTTCTATGTTTCTCCTGTTACAATGTACTGCAACTGTGTCAACAGGTTTTCTAAAGCTATCGCACTCTAAGGGGAGGAGAAGAAGCATGGAAACACTGATACCGATAAAAGTATTGTTGAAATGCTGTTTAAACAAAAGGCAATTCATGGCTGGGGTTGTTTTGGTGGTTTTTTTTCTAATCCTATATGACTGAAACAGAGAGTTACTTCCACAAATGTCAAGCTGTGTTGTCGCAGCAGAGCACATTCTAAAACATTTTCCTGTGATGAAATACAAAGTACAAATTTGCATCTGTAGAACTACAGGTCTGGCTAATGTTAATTTTACTGCATTTTGTATGTACACTAGTTTTTACTGGCAATGAACTTTTAAACATTTCTCAATAAACAGACATTTAGCCTGGTTATGAAGCTGCATTTAAAAGCTAAGAAAAACAGGACTTTAGCACTTGACATGGCAATTATTTGTGCCAATTTTTAATGTAGAAAATCAGTCTAGAAGATTTAAAGTAATAAAATGTAAGGATGCAAAGGGAACATTAAACTTGAAACCCTGTTCTGCAAATACCAACAAATTGTCTTTTACTAGGCACATGACCAGCTGTAATCACTTCCAGTACGTAGCAACGCCCATCCCTAGGCGTGAGGACAGAACTACAGCTTGCATTGGCTGGTGTCCTTTGGAATAAGCAAATGTTAGAAAGCATCTGAGCACGTCCTGTGCTCTCCCTTACCACCCTCCCTCCACCACGAACCACTCTCTAAGATTCATGTAGGATGGAGAACTAATACATTAGCACTGATCTGAACTTAAAGTTGACTGACTGCACCTCCCTACCATGTACCGCCAGGACAAAATAACTAGTATACAGAAGATGCATTTACCTTTCTAGGATTTCAAGGCACCAGGCAAACATTAATGAATTTATTCTCAGCATGACTGATGAAGGGAGTATCCCTTTTAAAAACAAGGGAAATGGAGGCACAGTAATCTTCTAAGTGCAGGGACAAATTTAAATGGCCCTTCTTCTCAGTCCCATGATTTAGCCTCAAGGCTGTCTTTTCCCTTCTCGTGGAATTTGCATTAAACATCTACAAAACAACTATCTGACAAATAAAAAAAGGTAACTTACCACACATACTACACAGTTAAAAATACTCTTAGCATACAAACTCCCAGTGCCACAATTTGCCCACTTTGCCCCAGCAACACAACAGGGTAAAGGAGTAAAACTAATGATTCTCTCTAATCAGTGACATAAAAGAAATGCCTTTATCAGGTTGGGCTGACCTCATGCCCTTCGAATTATTTTGGATAACTTCTCCTGCTTTTATCAGGAAAGGAAACAGGCAACTCAGATTTCTAGTATCACTTTTATGCACTTAGCTGGGAGAGGGTAAAGAAACTGAGGTGCTAAACAGTAAAAGCAGTTTAAAAATGCAGCTTCTGATATGTACTGAACTGAAACAAGATCACTGCTGTGCTTTGTAATACAAGGTAAAAAAAAAAAAGCGTTTTCTCAAAAGACTAGAACTTTTTGTTTCCTCCTAGAAATTCTGAAGTTTATTTCTAGTTAATTGCAGAATCATTAACAGGAGATTGTTTTCAAAGAAGTGCTAAGTGTTTCTGCAACAAGGAGCTACTGTTTCTCTTACAGTGATCCTTTTTTTTCCCACTTCCCTTCTGTTCTTTTACCCCAGCTTCTCTATACTGTCACAGAAACTAGCATTGAAATCCCCTCTTTTACTCAACTTGCCGCCAGAGCACTCTCTGCTTTCCTCTTATTTGCTTTCATACATTAAAGAAAAAAAAAAAGGGAAGGGCGAAAAAAAGGGAAGAACAAGGACCCATCCTTGCATGGCATTACTTATTTAGGTATTTGTCTTAGGCTGAACTTCCAGCACCAAAGGGGAAGGAAAGCAATTTCATTAGCTGTCAATTTATATTCATTCCTCAGCCAAAAAAAAAAAAAAAAAAAAAAGGCAAACCAAAAAACTGTACTTGGTGCAAGAGCCATTTATTTAAGTTAAGAAAATAATCATGGCAGCATTCACAGAACCTATCAAGGCTTGGCCCCAGTGAACTGATACGAGTCTTTTGCTATAATTTCACACCCTGCTTCACCTGCCATAGACAGACATAAGCAAATCTCACCGATGCAAACAAGGTTCTAAAAATCAAGACATTGGTCCTGATGCACCATCTTTTCATTAGCTATATTTAGAGTAAGCAGCTCTAGAATATCATAAAAATCAGAATAATTAACTTCATTTAGATAAACAGAGTCACTGAGTATCACAAGGCACTATCAGTGTCTACAATACAGGGAAAGGGATAATCTCTGTGCTCTAGAAAATCAGAATTGGCCATGGTCATCTATGGATAAATGAAGAAAACTTCAAGTCTGTCATCTCCTATAAGGGTTCAAGCTAATCCTAGTCTAATTGTCATCAGCCACTCTCCCCCTTGCTCCCATATGGTTGCACAGAAACAGTTGAGACTTAATTGAAAACAACTAATTTCAATCCCACCTATAACAAATGGACCAAAAAGAGAAAATATGCATAAGATTTGGAATGTGAGGAAGAAAAAGGACTGTTTGCATGTTCCAGGGCCTCTGCTGGTTTCAGAGTCTCCTCCCAGAACATGTGTAACCAGGAATATGAATTTTGATACACAGATTAATTTCTCTGAAAGAAGTGAAAGGCATCTTCTGCCTGACCTCACAGAACATGTAGTGGTGAAGGATAAGTACATTTGTTTTCTCAGTGTTGGTGTAAGAACCTGCAAATGAATTATACAACCTGGAAACACCACCAATTTGAAGTCACAATCTTTTGGTCAACTGACAGTATCAAAGGTAAGCTGCGGATCAGAATAATTTGTGATATGCTTGAAGTTAGCTTTAGTAAGCAAAGAAATGTTCATGTTAGAATCTGCATGTCTCTTAGGACATGTGCAATTTTATTAGAAGGACATTATGTACAGACTGAAACATTCTATTCTGGGTTCTTGGGAACTGGAAAATAAGGTGCCCTATACATAGACCTTCAAGCAGGAATCAAAGTACCAGGAATATGCTTTACAGGACCGCAGCTTGTATTTTGGCATTTTGCTCACAGGATCTTGCATAGAGACATAACAGAGTAAAACACAGCATTTAAAGATTGCCACAACTGAGACAGAAAAAAGTGCAGTCCCCACTGGTTAGAGAACCATCTTTCAGTTCTAAGTAGTGCTTGTTGGAAAGGGGAAGTGAATATAAGGCATACAAATCAGAGGGGAGGAAGGG